AGGACAGCAGTGGTGGCGCCGGTGCAGAGGCCCAGTGGACGTACATCACGGGCGCCGACAAAGACTACCAGCGCGTGGAAGTGGAGGGACCGATGATTCCGCTGTGGATACAGATAATGCTAATCATATGCCTGTTGTGTATGTCCGGCCTGTTCTCGGGCCTCAACTTAGGACTCATGGCTCTCGACAAGAATGAGCTGAAAGTCATCGAACGGTGCGGAACGGAACAGGAGAAACAGTACGCCAAACAGATAACGCCTGTCCGCAAGCGGGGTAACTATCTGTTGTGTACCCTATTGTTGGGTAATGTGTTGGTCAACAACACCCTCACTATACTTCTGGATTCACTCACGTCGGGCTTCGTGGCGGTCGTCGCCTCCACCATCGCTATCGTCATCTTCGGGGAGATTATACCGCAGGCCCTGTGCTCTCGACACGGGCTGGCAGTCGGCGCCCGTACGGTGTGGTTGACGTACGTGTTTATGGTCATCACATTCCCCCTGTCGTTCCCCATCTCCAAGATCTTGGATAAAGTTTTAGGTTTTTATGCATTCATTATATTTGTTATCGTTTGGTATGTGTTGTGGTGTCTGTGCACAGGTATGTACTGCAGTGGATAGGGATGTGTTTGGCGCACATGAGGTTTAAGGCTCTGATTTAAGACTCTGTTATTGTATTTTTAATATGGGTTTCAAGTTATTTATAGCATTTGATGTGATTTTTGCAGTTTTTTTTCAAGTTTTTGACACTTTTTTGGGAAATGTTTCCATTTCTAAATACCTTTAATGTGTTTTTTATTTTATTTTCATTTCACTTTCAATTGATTTATGAATTTGTTTTTATATAAAATACTGAATTAGAAAAACTGGTTTTACTTTATATGTAGCGGAATATAGTGTGGAATTTTTCTATGGAAAACTTTCCCCCAATTTTTAGCCCTCAACTTACTGTAGTTTTTATCAATTTTTGTTACATTAAATTTTTTAAAATACTAATCAATTGATTTGAAAATCAATTATTTTTATGTTAAAAATATGTTTCTATTGTTAGCGCTAAATGTCAGTACATTTTTACTAATTAACTATTATTTATTGATTTTTCGACACAAAATATACCAGAAATTGTGAAAACTATTGAATTAATTTTATTTTCTCATCCCTTTCCCCACACATCGCACCCGTAGGTGAAGAGATCGGCAATGTGTACGACAGGGAACGGCTGATGGAGTTTATACGGGTGACCAAAGACCACAACCGATTAGAGGCCGATGAGGTTAACATCATCTCCGGTGCCCTAAAACTCTCGAAAATGAAAGTCTTGGAGATTATGACACAAATACAAGACGTGTTTATGTTGCCCTACAATACAATACTGAATTTCGAGACCCTGACACAAATCAATAGCCAGGGCTACTCCCGAATACCGGTGTTCGAAGGGGACAGGAATAACGTGGTCGGCATATTGCACGCTAAGGACCTGGCGTTCACCGATCCCGACAATAATATGCCGATTAAGGCGTTGATTGAGTTCTATAAACATCCGCTATATTTCGTGTACGAAGACGTGACACTGGATGTCATGCTTAACGAGTTTAAACAGGGTATGTGTGCCCCCAAACCCCCTCCCATTCCCATCAACACCTACGGTTACCCCTCTAACCGTATAGCCAGTTAGTTCCCAATTGTTGGTAAAGTAAGAGTAGGTTAAAGGGGAAAGGGATCTCTGGTCTTAAAGGGAATGGGAGTCCATTGAGAAGTCTGGTGTATGTGTTAGTGTTCATCTGATTGACTAATCGCTTGATTGTCTGAATGACAGGTAAGTCGCACATGGCTTTCGTGCGTAAGATAGTGGACGACGGTGTGAACGATCCGGTGTACGAGTTGGCCGGAGTGGTCACTCTGGAGGACGTGATCGAAGAGCTCATCCAAGCGGAGATCAACGACGAGACGGACGTTATCTGTGAGCGCCATTAACATCGCCATTAGCGCCGGGTTTAATGAATAATTTTATGCGTAAATGTATTTTCAGCGGACAATCGGCGCAAACAAAAGCGCAAAGAAGTGGTGAATCGACCGAATTATTCGGATTTCGTACGCCTGGGCGCCGCCGCCACTGCCGCCGGTGGACAGGCGGGTCAGGAGACCGTGAAGTTGTCCTCGCAGTTAGCACTGGCCGCCTACCGATACCTGTCCACGTTTGTGGAGCCATTCACCAGCGAATACCTGTCCGAAAACGTACTCAAGAGGTTGATGTCGCAGAAGATCTACGTCGAGGTCCGCGTTGATCCGAACGCCAAGTTTGAGTCGGAGGCCGGAGTGCCGAAGGAGAAGCGCCTCTACACTTATGGACAGCCGTGCGATCACTTCGTACTCATTCTGGAGGGAAGGGTTCGCGTGATTATTGGCAAAGAGTCGCATACCTACGAGTGCGGGGCCTTCCAGTGCTTCGGCGTATCGGCCCTTAAGCTCACGGCTGGCGATAACGAACGGGTGGCCAAATCGGCCTCTTTGGGACGCCTGTCCATCGCTGATGGTACGTATGGGTCGAGTGGGAACGGGAGGTTCCGATGGATATGCCATTCAAACTCTAACAATCCGTTTGTCTGTTTCCTACCATTAGTGCTATCATTAGCGCCACAACAACAGTCCACACCTCCCAACCCGCCAACAGAGGGCACAACACCTCCGCCGACTACCGGCCCCTTGAGATCGTCGGCGTCCACAGCGTCTACGACGTCAGTGGCCTACAGGGGCTCCGTAGCGGACGCGCGCGAGTCCATGGCCTTTGTGCCCGACTTCACGGTGTACTGCATCGAACACACGACGTATATGCGAGTCGACAGAACCACATACCTGTCCGCCGTGAGGGCCACTATCATAGAGCGTCAGCGACAAAATGGTGGCTCCTTTAGCGCGGGAACGGGTGGTCAGAGGGATGGCGGCGCTGAAGGAGGCGTAGAAGACGACGGATTCATACAGTTTGTCGGATCCGAATCGGGCGGACAATCGCCGCGAGTGACCACCGCTAACAACACGAGACCTAAGCCCCCGGCCGGTAAGCGGTCGCCCACCGGGTCTACCGGTGCGGGCGTTAAGGATGCCGACGGACTGCCCCCGAAATACGAGGAAAGTGTCAAAACAAATAGCGTTTCGAAGCAAATGAGTGCTAATAATAAAGGCTTGAATCCATTGAATGACAGTTTGAGCCAAAATTCAACGGAAAGTATCGATAAAAATAGTATTAATAGAAGTGATAGTAATTTAAATGATGAGAAATCGCATCTTATTTGATATATACCGGTCCCCACTTTCACACCTACTGAAACACACCCCTTTCCCCTATCATAAGTCATTAATTATATAAATCAGTATTTTTCGTGTCATAAGTCTTGAAATTTTTGAATACTTTTTTTTTGAAGACTTTTATTATTATTTTTTGTGCAATTTTTTTGTATAATTATTATTAAGTTTTTTAAGTATTATATAATTAATAGGTTTGTATTATAAAACAATTAATTTATTATTGAAATTAGTTTGCATTTCGTTCAACACTGAAATACTATTGAGTTTTTAGAAATTGTTTTTTTATTATTATAATTTTTTAAAAATAATTTTTGTGATTTTAATTTATTTATTATTACAAATTTTAATTCAATGAGAAAACTGTTAATTTAATTGAAATGTGAATTTTATGGACAAAACTTGAAAAACGAAACACAAAAAGCTTTTCTTAAATACTATGCAAAATATTATCCAAAAATTTACGACAAATTTTTAATCGCTTTTTGTTGTCAATACACTCAACACTTCTATCAAATAGTTTGTTATAAAAAATGAAAATAAATTAATCTAATTATGAATACAATTCAAAAGGCTATAGGATTTTCGTATTACTTAATGAATAATTATATAAATAATAAATTAAATTAAACTATTTTAATGGTAATTAAAAATGAACCCAAACTTTGAGCTCAATATTCAAATACAAAACGACAAAAATAAATATAAATTTCTAGTCTTTTTTTAGTACGAAATCGTTAAGTATTTAAATAATTATTAAGTATTAAATAAATAAATTGTTAGCTATTAGTGTAACACATTATAATAGGTGTTCACTATAACCGATATTTCCAATAATGTATTTCTTATGATAAACACAAGTATTTTAAGCGATACTATGATTGTAATGAGTGCTTACTATTTGATTACAAGTATTAATTAATAGGTATTATAAAATATTTTTGTTAATGTTTTAAATATATTAAGTGGAAAGGGATGTGTAATATTCATAGTCTATTGTAAAACGGTTTAGCCAAATGTTCAAAAAAAATAATAATTCACACAAATTGTTGTCAACTTAATACTTAATTTATTTAAAAACAAACTCTTGTTTTGTGTCATATTTTTGATGATTTAAAAAACTTTTCCCGAAAATTATATAATCCTTGAATAACTCTTACCATTAAGTGATTGCATATTTTGTATTATGGGTTTTTATATTATGTTTGTAATTATATCAATATTATTTGTACACTAAATAAACGCAATGTTTAGCTCAATATT